TGTTGGAAACACACAGTGAAGAGAGCTGGCCACAATGTTTCTGAAGGTTTTGGGAAAAAATAACCCTAACTGGGGTTATTTACATATAATTATATAAAATATAATATTAGATATTTTAAATAATTATAAAAATAACTAGGATGCAGTTTCTGTACTGATTAATAAAAATATTAGGTACTGTATAAAAGAAAGCTCTTTGTTTAGCTACCCCTTCAGCAAATGGCTCTTTGTATACTCCAGATATATGCAAGATGTATGGGTCATGTAGGAAACAGCAAGCATGCAACAGAACCCTTAATGTTTATTATTTTCATACAGAAAATATGCATTGTGGAGTTAGTAATGTAACTATGTGTATTTGTGATTCTTAACACAAGAGACAGCTTGAGATACAGGAGGACAGGAGGGGTTACAGCTCTATTGGCACAGAGGACTGGCAGGAAAATGTATCTTCTTAACATTGGGGCAATACACATGCACAATGTAACTGGGTTTTTACCACTTCCCAATGAAGCTTATTCTCTCAGTACTAACCTTTAATGTTCTTTACTTCCTGTTTAATAGTTTCTCTTAGTGCTTGAAGCATTTTAAAGGCTGATAATTTTCCATCTTCCTCTAAAAACTTCAACCAACCCTTTTCTTTTGGACTTCTTTTGAATGATACATAATAATAGGCGCCAGTATCATCAGCCTCATCCAGCTGAATCCTTGTAACAGGCATTACAAGCATGATGTCAAACTCATTTGGTTCAGATATCTGCAAATATAAGAATTCAACAGTCAATGTGCAACTTAGGTTTTATTCACCTGAGATTTTTATACCACTTGTTTTATCTACCTTGGTGTATTAATCATGTCTAATGTGAAATATGAGCTTATTTCTGTGGTATTGCAAGATTACTGTGCATTGGGGTGGAAAATAGCAATTTGCAGCTCACTTCCCAGCTCTCCAACTTATTAATTTTGTAAGATAGTTTTAAGATTCTTGAGCTGTACTGAATGATTAATGCATAAATGTGCTTAGTCATCCTTTTGAACACAGGAATCAACTGTGAAGAAAAAAAAAATGCATTCCTAGGTATGAAGCTGGTTTTAGATGGAAAAAAAATGTGTCCCCATGTTAAGTGTCAATCTGCTGGAATCAGGAAAAAATGTACTGATTAATCACAGAAGGTGAAGGGGTCGGAATGGACTGTAGAGATAAAACTAGTCCTGACCCACCCTGCCCTGGGCAGGAATACCTTTCACTAGACCAGGTTGTTCAAGGCCTTGTCCAGCCTCGCCTTGAATACTCCCACATTTGGAGCATCCACAGTCTCCTCAGGCACTCTGTACAACTGTCCCACCACCATCACAGTAAAAAAATTCTTTCTAATATCTAATGTAAATTTTTCTTCTTTCAATTTATATC